ACTGTCACTTGTTGGTACTTGATCGGTCGAATGACCAGTCGGTAAAGCAGGTTACGAGTGAAGGTAGCTACGCATAGAGATCTTGGGACCTTACAGGCCTTACAACGAACGCCCCCGTGGCACTTTTCTGTACTAAAGACACTCCTGTCTAACAGATCAAGAGCTACTGACGCTATGTCAGTGTTTTATAAAAAGGATGATGTATGTCAAAATATTTTTATATATAGAAAAATAAACTGTACAAGGATCGTATAATGGATATTACAGATTAGAGGAAAAGTTAAAAATTCTTGGGTTCATAGTCTGTGGAATTAGGATTCATATTTTTATGGTTTATAATTTCTAGGGTTTATCATAGATTTGGTTTTGGGGTTCAGAATTTGAGAAAATTTCAAAATAATTTAGGAACAGTTGTGTGATCCATTTCCAGGTCAGAGGAATTGACGTTTTTTGAATATTTCGAAATTTTCGCGCCATCTTTTTTCATTTGAATGGAATCTTGATTTCGCCATTGCTTTTTTAGACTCGATTTGCCGAACGAACGACTTGCAAAAATAATTTTTTTTCGGAATTTTTGCTATCGAGGTCGTCCTTTGTCAAAATTTCTGGATCTTCTCGATTTCTGCGAAATCTCTCGAGTTTCGTCAACCATTTTCGTACGCGTTGCCGCGAAAAAATTCTTGGACGAGCGTCAATTAAGCGTCATCGTGGGAAACGCGAGACGGAGGGATGAAACACGATAACTGGCGGCCAGAAGCTTTTAGAAACCGGGGTTTCCCCAGCACCGATTCCCCGTTTGTCCCCCGCGAAAGCAAAGATTGCATTTAATTGCGTTGAAACCGATCTCGAATCTCAAGGTCGCCATGATAGATCGATGATTAAAGGGATGCAGTTAACGGTTCATAGCCAAATCTCTACGAGCTAGTATAATTAGAAAATTAGTATACTTCTTCTGTATAATATTTTCATAATAAATATTCTGCAAATAATATTCGTACAATTTTTTCAAAAATAATTCGAACATCGATTTCCATTCAACTTAACGTACGCGATTTATTTCCGACGATCGTCGGGTGTGCAACACCAGCGACGCGTATACTTTATTTATGCACTCCGTTAAGCCCGGTTCATACGACTCGCGACGGGACCTAATTTATGCAGTCGCGTGCACGGATCAGCGATGCATCATTCCCATTGTCCTCGTCGAATTCACCGAATCGGGGACAGAACTGTCAAAGTATCTCGGAGCTGCGACAGCAATGTATCGTACGTGCATCGTGGATACGATAGATCGTTCTTTAAATCACACGATCGCGTTCATGGAAACTCCAGATCGAGAGATATAAACTGAGATTATAAGCAGCGATTACCTTGTGATTAAGTTTAATTTCCTTGTGCAATTTGAATTTCAAATGGAGACGTGATTTTAAAAGGTGGGAATATTTTTCGTTTATACTTTCCTTTGTATTTTATGTAGTACCATCGGTTTATTCTGTTACACAGTTTTCGCGTACGTTCAGAATAATGGAATCAAAGGATAATACAGATTTCTTTTCGCGCATTTGACCGGTCCTGCTGCTCCGTCGGTAATCTATTGATTATTGATCTCCCATAGATGGCGGTATTAGTATGGACCATTAATATCCAGCTTCATGCAATAATAAATATACGTAAAGTTAGTGACAAGAAACAGACATTCCACGTATATTTATCTTTAAACATTTAAATTAGATTGGTTATTATTCTGTGAATAAGTGTTCGAAAAATTAATTTCTAGATTTAGGTTAATAAGATTCTTCAGCAAGGAGTGTAGAAAATTTAGTAAAAATGACAGGAATTTTGAGCAAACGTTAGTTAGGTTAAGTACCAGAACCTCGTATCCGTTGGCGTGGTAGGAAAATTGTGGTAACGTGTGTACAGCGTTTTATATTAGAGCTAGATGAAGGCAGTGGATAAAAAGTATGAAGCAAGACTAGTGGAAAAATAATTAGGTCTTGAGGTATTTTGAACAAATATCGAAATATGTTCGATATATATTCGACTCGTATATTCGAAGTAAACAGAAGTGTGGTATCGCGAAGAGTATTCCAATCCAAAATATACAAAATACGTAGGCCACATTGGCATTTAGGTGTAAAGGGGTCAACGTTATTACTAAAGTTATGCGTGACAATATTTTTTCGTTCTACGAGGAATCATCCGCGCGGGAATGGTCGTGAAAACGATTCGCGATTCGAAAAATGTCCGCAAGATAGCGTTAGTCCGGGCTAGCTTGAAAATCCAGCTGAAACGCTATACGCGCGTGGTCGAGAGTTCTGATAACGGTTGCACGTTTTAATGGTTTTACGATTGTCCCGTGAAGTGCATTAATAATGCCGGAAAGCAGGCGGCCAATGGAAAATCCGATATCGGCGGTTGGTTTTGCTCGTGAAATAATGTGTTTGACTTCCGTGAAGCCCGATACGTACGACGTGCGACAAGTTGTTAATCTTTCAATTTTCCCGCGCATTCGATATTATAAATTTTCGCGGACCATCGTGTAATGGCGTTTCATCGGCATCGAAAGGGGTTCGAGTGGAAAATTAATAGAATAATTCTGGGAGCCAAAGAGATTTCCTATTATAAAAATTTATGTTTCAACGTTCGAGGTCAAATTATGGTGGAGTGAAACTCATGTTCGAAAGTCGTCAAACACTCGGTTTCATAAAATTCGAGGGACACTTGGAGGACCACGTGGCTGGAATAAAATGAATTCAAAATTAATTTCACGACGAAGAAATTATTCAAAATTATTCTGATCTCTTTTAAAAAAAAATGGAATTGGTAGATATGTAAATTCCCTATTCGTTGTTCATGTTGTATTTGAGTGAGTAGATATGAATTAATTTATACACGTCGTGTTTTTTATATTTCATCCACTTTCAAATACAAAATTTCAATCTTTTAGTAGTTCAGTTTTCGGACTCATGGATCGATCTTGAGGCTTCATCAGAGCACACACTATAGATCGAAATTTATATCATTAAACGTCAAGAGAATCATCAAGATTTTGTATTCTTTGTAAAAATTACCAAGGTATTTTAATCTTAATTTTTGCAGAACGTAGCGTTGCATATCAGTATCTTAATATTAGTGTGTTTTGAAAAATTAAAGAAAGTGTCATATCTTTTTCTTTTATCTTACTACACAATAATTTTGATACGCATATTAAAATATAAATAATTAAAATAAAAATTAGTTCAATTTTCATTCATGAATTTCGAACTTTATTTAATGAAAATTGCTCATTTTATTATCATTAATCCGTTATTTTGCCTAATCAAAACTTTCTCTATTTTCCACCGTTTTAAACCTGCGACTTGGGTCATTTACGTGGGATAGCTCGTACAGTTGTGCTTTGCACACGAACAATGTACGCCCGGCGATGAAGACTATGCTCATCTACGTTAACAAAAAAGTTAGAGAAGTCTGCGTGGTTGTCGACTGACAAGGAATAAAAAGGACACAGGTATCCTGACAAAACTTCTAACAATTGTAAAACACGTAGCGTCAGAATTTTTTCGCAAAATTTCTTTCATCATTTCAACATTATAGTTATAGGAGATACGACTAAAATACGGAATAATAGAAGAGTAAATCGAAGACTAGTTATCTGAGGTGCGGAGAATTTGGATGTATTTTTGTCTCGATCCAATCGTTCGACGAAGAGGAATTTGAAATTGAGGTGGGGGTGGATAGGGGGCAAAAACGTTAATCGATGGAATTCCACGATTTTCGTCGATATTCTCAAGTCGTCCGGGTGCGTCACGGACCCAAGGTTTTCCCTCTCTCTCTGTCTCTCTTTCACGGCAAGAAGAAGTTAAAAGGAAGTTTCGTACAAAAGGACGAGGAGAACCTCGTGCCACAGGGACGAAATTCCAGCGACGTCTCGCGTCCCCTAGAAGAGTTATAGCTCAGGGGACACGAAGAAACACGGCATGCATTTGCGAGTAACCGTATAATAGAGCCGCATTGTAGCGATGCCAAATAATTTCGTCGGGGTCAGCCCAAAATTTTCGAAATACAGAAATTGCGCCTGAATCAAGCCGGAAGTGACGGCACGCTCCCGTCTAGGCCGTAAACCGGCCTGAGGATAATAAAATGGGAGGACAGGGGTGGGATAGATTGGCTCGTATTCCCCATTTAACAGTGATGATAATGAGAAACGAGACTTTGGAAAAGGAATAGATTTCTGTGAAAGAATCGACTTGGAAATAGAAAAGTTTTCAGAGGATGATTCAGGGGATTGGCTTTAGAGATTGTAGATCGGTTGAGGTATTCTCCGATAGAAATGAGTTCTTGGTTTTATCGACGTGAGTAAGTTTGGCGTTGGTTAGCGGTATTTGCATGGAAATACGTTTTCAGGAAAGTATCTGGAGGATTGATTGCAAGACTTGTAAATTCTGACGTGTATGCGCCTGAAAGGGATATTGTAGGATGTCTAGAAGAATACTGGTTGTCACCCAAGTACATTCATTTGAAACCTCAAGAAACTATAATCTTAAACACTGTTCTCTCGTACGCTTGAAACTCTTACCAACTAATCTTCATCTACATTTCAATCAATCTAGTTCAAACCCACTAACTACGGCCAAAGATTTTATCAGCCTAACAATACGAAGCGACCAACACAGAAACTTATCTTCCTAACCTGGTCCCTGTTCATCAAAGGATCATCCAAAGCTGACTCTTTCACCTGACAACTTTGTCGCTTACAATGCTGCTGTACTATATGATAGATGAACTGTGGAGAGATGAGAAGGTGCCCAGTGGAAATCTCTTCTTTTAAGTTGTTGTGTCTATCATTACGATTATATTATGGAAGGTGAATCTATTACAATACGATCAATAGCTCTCTTCCCATCTCTCTACGATACGTTTTTCCATTCACCCCCTATGTCTATGGACTTCGCACTTTTGTACAACGTTTTCACGTCTTCGTATTCCATATATATTTGCAGCTCTGAAATAGGCTACGCTGGTTCACCGCCAAGGGAGGTGCTCACCAGGGGCAGAAGCATAGATTCCGTGGACAGGCCTTTTCATCCGAGCGACTGGGTCGACGTGAACCTCGAAGTGCCGAGCACACCGAGGGCGAGCTCGGTGCTCACGAATTTAACCGTCGACACGAGCCTCTATCCGGCCACCACCCCCACGTCCAGCTGTAAGCTCGCAATTTATCGTTAGCTCGTATTGCAAGCTGTATCCTTAACGAGAACATGCTCGTTCCGACATGCCGGCTGATAAGGATGGTAACCCATGTACCATGTACCCGTACACGCTCTGTTGCGTCGGTCTGCGTTTTGTAAATAACTAGAGGCGAAACCCTTTTCCAACCCATTCTCATACCCCAAACAGGGGTAGGGAAAAAAATAGACTGGAAACTATGCGTTTGGCCGGCACGTTGGAAACTTTCAACCACGTTACGTGTTTATCCTGTACCTGGCACTTTTGCCAAGAAATTTGCGCCGCATTTCTGTCGCTTTCTAACTATCTTTGTTTTCAGACCTGTGTAATGTCAAATGACTCCGGAGTTACATACGTATCACCACTTTTGAATTTTATTCTAGTTATTCGTTTATGTCAGTGGCTTAGAAGATACATCACAAAATTACGCAATCACTTTTCTATATAACAGTTAAATTGTAAAACTAAGTTTGTATTCTGATCAAGTTAAATGTCTTCTTCATCACGTTACAAATATTTATTGCTCCGTTTTCGATTATGTTACTTTTATGCGAGGAAAAACACGTTTCGTTTCACGAGTTAACAACGGTTGCATTGTTACGTTTTTCTGTGCTAGAACAAACCCTTTCCAACCTATTGTAACCCCGCGTGATCGCGAGCAACGTAAACACAGCCGTGACATGACACTCGTCCTGATTTGTCTGCGAGATACGCCATAAATTCTTCTCCATTGTAACTGTCCAGGTTCGAACCTGAAGGACGTCACGCCGATTCCACCGCCCAGGCGTCGAAAACGGAACAAGGGCAGGCCCCTGCCGCCTAAACCGGACGAGGTCACAGCTGAGAACCCGTCGAGCGGTCTGAAGCGGCCGGAGGCAAGTGACGAGCCGTTATACTCGTCGGTCAGGTCACCGAAGAGCAGCGAAGATGAGCAGGAGGCCGGAGAGGACAGTAGACAGGGCAAACATCGGTCGCGCGACGATGGAAGCCGCGATGGAAGAAGAACGAAGGAGATTTACGAACACAAGGCGAGTGCCAGTCGGCTGAATCTCCATTGTAAATGTCTCCCTCCCCCACGACTCTATCAGCGACTCGATATTCACGAGGATATTTGCCCACGCGTAGAACGCGCCGCGATTCAGTAAACAAAAGGGAATCTGTGAAACAAATATCGACGCGACATTAGAAAATATTTACGGATCGCATCGAATTGAACCAACCGTTCGTTACATGAACGCAAATAGGACGGTCGATATTGCTTCTCGCTACGAGATTTTTAAAAACCGAAATTCTAAATGAAATTCATGACTGAAGGGAATATGTAATCCGGGGGAGCTTTGTTGTAAAGTTGTTGCTTTGAATTTTTGTACTTTTATAAGATGTGAGGATTGGCATTTGAGTTGAAACTTACAGCTACAGACTCACTATAAAGTAGTAATTCAAGAATCGTTCACGAGAATAACCATAGGGATAAGTCTGATTAGCAGTAAAAGCAATTATAAAATTCCTATTGTTATTCTTCAGTAGCATTATTATTCTTTTCTATCTACTATGCTAACGAACTGACCGATTTCTGGGATTGTAGGTTAACGGGACCGGAAGGATAATATCAAGCGACATGGTTTCCGGAAAGAGGACCTTCGAAAACAGCCAGCACCAGCGCAAGGCTCACGAGAACGAGGAATACGAGAAATTCGCTAGGAACCGGACAACCAAGGACTCCTCGACTCCTAATCGCGATGAGAAGAGGAGGTCGAGGGAGGTCGAGAAGCAAATCAAGGATTCCTCGAGAGAGATGGAGAAATCGAGCAGCATCGCAAGGACCAAGAACTACAGCACCGTCAGTCTGCCGAATTACGACGAGTTGGACGTGGCCAGGCATCGGCCGAAAGGAACAGACGACCATGAACACCAACAGGACAAAACGAGGAGGTCCAGGAGACCCGTCAGGAGCAGCACAGGATCGCTTCCGGCTGAATCCTTCCTCTCGCCATTTTCCGAGGTACAGGCAACTTCCGAGGGAATTTCGGGGGATGTCTTCCTCAGGCTCACGTTTGGAGGAAACGGGGACTGGTATTTCGATTCTTTCGGTTGTTTTGTTTAGGACGATGTGCAGAAATCGAATGTTTGATTTTTAGTTTGAATTTTGAGTTAGGAAATCTTTGTTACGTGATCAAATAACATATAGAATAGATTAAATGAACCTTAATGAGGAGTAGGTGGCACAGAGGTGATGATCAGGGTCAGATAGGTCCAATTAGTCAGAGGATTAAGAAGTCAGATAGATCAAGTGGATTAAAATAAATGTGGGATATGGGAGATAAATCAAGTAAGCCAGGTAGAACGACCAAATTAGGTAGATTTAAAATTTGGTAGATCAAATAAGCTAGGTAGGATAAGTTGTTCAAGTAGATAAGGTAGATAAGGGATATAGGATATAGAATATAAATTAAGTGAACTAGATAAAGGAAACAAATTAGGTAAATTTAATAAATTTGTTAGATTAGATAAGCCAGGCAAGTTAAGTTGATCAAGTACCTAAGCAGATTGGACAAATCAAGTAAATCAAATAGATCAAGTAGGTTGGACGGATCATTTAAGCCGAGTGAATCTCTTGGTTCAAGTATACTGTTATTAAAACCACACATCTCTTACACTCATAGATTTCATAAAACGTATTATCTCCGGTAACAATCTCGTGACTCCTCAGGATTCAGTCTGCACACCTCTTCTTCCTTCCCACCATTCACAACGTTAATCGCATCGTACTCTTTGTATAGCACGAAGTACCCACAACGAAAGAGTTAATTTACGTCGACGACGATTCAGCTGGATAATTCATAAATTTATTCTTATCCTCAGAAAACTAGCGTGCGATTGGAAGACTACATTCCTAGGTCTGATAACCTATCGCCGTATCAAGTCTTGGAGAAGCTGGACTGTGGCACGAATGGGGTGGTGAGAGACGAATTCGTGAGGTATGACCCGAGTAAATCAGAGGATTGGGAGCTAGGAGACATGGGTAGTTGCGAATTGAATCGTCAACACCGGCTCTCCTTTGATGTATGTAGATCAGCGTAGGCCGACGAAGTAGAAAACTAAATAGTGAGGTGATACGTGTAATTTAAAATATAAATTAATTTGGTATTGTTCACACGTATGAATTTTAATATCGATTCAAGGTATTTCTATACAATGAGATGTCTTTCCAAGTCAGAGGATAATGTGTAAATTTAGGACCTCACTGTATCGTTTTCATCCATTATAGTTCCATTTATATGGATATACTACAATGTAAAATCTAGACGTAAAATATAAAAGGTGGATTTTCAGGGCACTCCCGGGATCAATGACGAAAAACGAGTTCGTGAGGAAGAGGAAGATGTCGTTGATTTCTCGATCGGTCGAGAGGATGAAAGAAGATCCCCTTCGTTGGATCGAGATGCTTCCAGATCTCCAGTCTACATAGAAAAGCCAGAAGCGTTTGGAAAAACACCGTCTATGGTAGTTGGCCAGCCGGAGTACAAGGAAGTGGATCCAAATAGGTCGGTAGAGATTATCTATGGTCGGTGTTCCGGGGATTAAGTGGGTTTAATTGAGGTGCCCAGATGCCAACCGTTCTAAGTCCATATTCCGTGGTCTTAACGTCCTGACCATTGTATAATCTTCTCTCGCCACTTTGCAAACTTATTACGTTTGCTTATAGCTAGTTGAATGACCTGGTTGTTCTGTCGTTGTGGAAGTTTCTGTAATATATTGTATAGCTTTGGTCACTCTACCTTTTGTTATTCATAAAATTAAACATAATTGTTATAACTGTTTAAGCTGTACTTGTAAAAGTGTTATAAAAATGTATAATTTCTTCATTCTCTTAGGACTCACTTGAGGTATTTTGATCCACCTATGCTGACGGATAGTTGCAAAATTTCTTCTGCCTGCGACACATCAGGGGTCAAAGAACCGTTTTTTCTGGACGAGGTGAAACATCGTTCAGTTCTAGGTAAATAAAGACGAAAAAAAGAATATATAGCTAGATTCGATACATTGAACTGCCAATAATTTTTCCCCTCGTAAGTTCCTAAACGTTAGATTAACTCTGTTAAAAATCCTATAGATATAGAACGGATCTTTTATTGGTTCTCAGCATTACCTTTAGTTGCATATTAAATTTATAAATCAATGACGCATGTATTATGAATATTAAGGATAATAGAGATTTAATGAATCACGAACCCGAACAATAAATTAAAAAAATACTTAAGATGTCAGATCTTAAGATACCTAGAATCCAAGTATAACTTTGAGCCCAGAAGTTTAAAGTTCCTGCTTAACAAATCGTGGAGACCCTCAACTATCAGCATCGTTATTCCGAAACCTCGAATCGCAGTCGTACATTCCCAGCTTCCCTCCTAACTAGCATGATCGAGCGGAAAGGATCCAACTATCCTCGTACGTGACTAGTTAAACCGCACTCGCTCCATTTACCAGATACGATCGGGGGATCCAACGAAGGGAAGCCGGAATCCGATCGATCGGGGCAATCGAGAATGACGTTCGCCAGAAGCCTGTCGAATGAAAGCGAGCCGAACGAGGACACCTACGAGGCTAAAGAGTTACACTGTCACGCGACTAAGCTGATCAGGACCATTTCCGAGGAGTCTTTACCACGCGAGATGCTTGAAGAACCGGACCTGGACGATCTCTACGATGAGAAACTGGCCAAGAACGTGCGCAACAATCTAAAGAAAAACCTAGACGACTGGAAGATCAGCACGCCGCCACCGAGCCCCGAAATGAGGATCAAGTCTGATACTATAGACTCAGACCACTCGACCTTATTAAAAATCCTTAAAGAGGAGGCTGCGGAGGGAAGTAACCTGAGCTCGATGACACCTAGCCTGACTGAGCTGGAGGCTGCTTTATCAGATATGTTGGAGAAGGAAGACTCGCAGGAAGGGTCTAAGGAGGATAATAAATTCAACGTAGCCAACGAACAGGTCTTCAAACAACTAGAACCACAGATCCAGATGAATTCTGATGGTTTGAAAAGTAAGGAAGGTGGAGCAAAAACAGATTGGAATCTAGTCGATCGAGAGTCTAAGGGGGAGGATGAAGCTCCAACGTCCCTGAAACAGATTCTAGAGGACAGAAAACCAGTCACTGGAAGAAAGGTTTCGTTCTGTTCGTGGGAGGAGTCCATTGCGAAACTGGAATCTCAAAATGATCGAGAATTTGCTGATCTTGATAAATGGGTTACTCCCAGAGGCGACGAGGATCGAGGAATGGCGAACACAGGAAGTCCCACGGATCTTCCACCAGAGAAACCTAGCAGGCTGAACAGGAGTCTAGATGATCTTATGGAGAACATGGACGCTGTTCCTACGCCGCCTAGAAGGAAGAACAAGAGTCTTGGCCCGGTCAAGAAGGAGTCTGAAGTGGCACAAAATGGCTCTGCCCTTTCTGAGCACCTTTCAAATGACAGACTTATTTAATCGTCTTTAGTGATGATCTTAGGAGTATGTTTCTTGAAGGAATAGTTACTCGAGGGAAGAGTTGGTGGAACAGATGTAGCAAGGTCGTAAATTAAGGCATTAATTGCTCTTTAAATGTCACTCTTTTACATATGTTCATGTATAGAAAGAGAACTATGAAGACAAGTGAGAAACCAATGACTATGGCATGTGCGATGAACATCAATAAATATATCATTTGTGTATATTTTTCTAGATGTATATATGTTAGTTGTGTATGTATACTTATGCAACTTTGTATGATGCACGTTTATTGTTTGAAGAATAGCAAATGGTGTGTTTCTGGAACCTGTTTACTAAGTTGTATATTATACAACATTGTCTAACTATATTACAAAGGAAAAGATAATTCCAAGTATGTAGCTATATCTTCATTAGTACGTTGTACTATTCTTTTCAATTTGATGACCTCATTCTATCAGTTCCACCAACAGTGTAAGGAATGTTTGAAACGAATAGTTCAAAACAAGCATGCCGGGAAATGGTAAAATAGACTTGTCTGTTTGACTCGATGAAGTTAGAGTAATTGTACTATCAATATGTTGACGATTATGAACAATTTTATGAGTTGTTGCTGCTGTAACGTGGATCGTAATAAAGATTAAACTGCTCGTTCGATTATTTCGTGAATTGGTTCGATGGACTTTGAGATCGGTCCAGACGAAAATTCTTAGCCGAGGCTCCCCCTCACGGCAAACTTTCTAACGAACTTGCCGCTTCCGAAGAAGCGACGACGTCCTTCGAAAATCGCGAAACTTCGTTCGAAAAGTTTTCGATCAATGGGATCGCAGGTGTTCGCGCCTTATTGTTGCTCGCTGACTCGTCAGATTGTTTGGTCTCGATGAACAGGCTGCTGCAGTTAGAGTTAGCTCGTGGAGGATAATTACTCTGGACAGGTTATATTATTATAATTGGAAAATTACAATTTTTCCTCTTTTTTAATTATTTCGGAAGTCATTGTGATAGAAAGGAGGTTAAATTTTGCACTAGTTCGGTGTTCAATGTTACTATAAATAAAATAACCTAACCTAATATTTATCAAGTGCCTTTACGTTACGAGAGAGTGAACGAATGAACGTGTCTTTTACGTTTCGTGACAAAGACTTTCTATTGGATAAATATTGAACGAAGATTAAGGTTGGAATATTTTTTATACACAAGTCTAATAGTTTTAATGATATGTTGATGATCGTGGACAAAAATTGCGTCTGAAAGGAAAGTTTCTCATTCTTTATTTTCAAGATAGAATTATAAATGAACTTGAGTAACATATGTAAAATTCTCGTTAAAAGAGAATTTCTAATATAGACTTTCGACTAGATTTTGCTCGCAAGTGAAATATTAATTAAGATAACGTTTAAAAGTAGAGTGCTTCGTTCTGAGGCTGGTATTATGCATAAACCTGAGTCGAATATTCCAGTTACAATTATCTTTAAATCGCAATTGCTATTGTCGAGTTGAGACGTGATTAATGTGACATTTAATTTCATTTCATATCTAACATTTTAACATAACCTCAATCATTGCAGACAAACACGATTCAACGACACGAGCCGAGTATCGGTACTAAAACAAAATTTTGTCTAGAAAATTCGAAAGGAAAGGTTTGAAATGTCACTGCAATCTGGATTAAGTATACATTAAGGTATTTAATTTAATTTAATATCCTATCCATTTAAAATCCTACTTTGCTACTGATAAATTAAAACAAAATTCCAATTAAAAATTCAGCGAAATGGAATGAATGACAGAGCCTTCACGAAAGAACACACAGAACTTCAACAGATGAAGAAGATGATTAGATGGTTCTAGTGGAATCCTTACCTTCTTATCAAGAACTGCACCAACTCCAAATACCAGACGTCTGAAGTTCACCTAACCCTACCTTCATCTATCAATTACAAAACATCTGTCTAAGAACAAATTACACCTCCATCTCCCTCTCCATCACCCTTTGCCACGAAACATCATCCTCACCCTCAATCAACATCCCAAATCCCCGCACTGGATGTTTGATTTAACGTCTCCTCGAAAGAGCCCTGCTCTGAAAATAATTTCGCTGTCAGGTGAGGAAAGAAGATAGAGAGAAAGAAAGTGAGAGAGAGAAAGAGAGAGAGAAAAGGAAAGAGAAAAAATCAACGATGGAAGTTCGCCTGCGGCGTCGTTCGAACGATCGGCCAGGTTCCGCGGCGTTATCGCGATCGGATACCCGCCGCGAATATATACGAGCGACGAGCGTGGCCGTCGATTCTTCGGGGTCAGCGTTTGGAATTCAGGAAGCAGCTTGTTCCGAAGAAAAAGCGGAACGTGATTGGACCGGCCGGAAGGAGCAAGTTTCTCGCCACCTCGACGGAAAGGGACGTATACCCAGGTCTCGCCGCCTGGTCGGAGCCCTCGGGCGAGATTAATCTCGTTCGAGACGGGGCGAGTTAAGTGCTCGTGACACGCGGGCCGCGTTACGAGCGAAGGAAAAAAAGGACCGCGCTAATTATTCCTGGTGTATGTTATAACCTTCCTGGAGTGGAAGCTTACTCGAGGGGAAATTTGGGTAGCTGAGGGTGAGGTGGATGAGGTCGAGTTTGGATATTTGGGAAGATTGGAAGGCGCTAGCGATGCATGTCCTGTTATGATTTTGGAGTAGATGAGAATTGATGTAACAAAGGCTATTCCTGTGCAAGAATGTCGAATGAGGACAATGCTGATGATTTCTGGTTTATGCCAGAGTTTCCACCCCCTTCCAGTTATTTAGAGGAAAATTTGGATAGCTGATAGCGAGAGTGAAGTGGATGAGGCTGAGTTTGGATATTTGGGAAGATTGGAAGATGATATTGCAGAGGAGAAGATGAGAATTGACGTGGTAGAGGTAATTTTGAATGAGAATAACGCTAATTATTCCTAGTGAATGCCAGAGTGGAAGGTTACTTGAGGGGAATTTGAATAGCCTACAGGTGAGAGTGAGATGGATGAGGTTGAGTTCTAATATTTGGGAAGATTGCCAGATAGTAGTAACATGGAGGATGTCTTATTGTTATATTAAGAAAGATGAGAAGTGGTATGACCAAGGTAATTCTTAGACTCGTTCTTTAAGACAACTAATATTTTTCTACAACCAAGTCCAAACTTAACCACATTTGTACCATGAATTTCAGGTCAATGTATTCAAGATTTAGACAGTACAATACCTCGCAAAGATCTTTATGATAATTAAAGAAACAATCGACAAGTTCCAGCTAATAAACTCCATCCGTTTCCATAAGACCTCAGAGAATTTCATCACGAAAGTTCGATGTCAGTCAATGAGTATCGATTGGCATCGTTATTTCCGGTTATCCAAGGGTCACGACCTCTCAACCCAGGTTTCGACTTACCTATTACCCTTTTTTTAATTATCTTCAGGAGCCCACGGTTATCGTTACGCGTCCAACGGGACGATGTTAATCGCTTTAAGGGTCGCAGCACGGGCAAGAGGAAACGGACGGACGCAGCACGGAATTACATCGATCGATCCGCGCGATGGAGGCCGCTGGCTGGTCTAATTATTTCGTGTTTCATTAACCAGACCTCTTCCAGGCGCGATCGAAACTTTCGAGATTACAACGGGCCCTCACCAGATGACTCGCGCGACTTCTGTGACTCTGGAACGTTGTCCCACTTGTGAACTTCCCTTGAGCCCCTGTTGCGACCCGAATTATATCAAAAATCAGTTTCAACTCTTCAGATGTGTCCGCATGTCTTGAAATAAGTTGATGCTACTTAGAGAGAAGATGCTTCTCGAAAACACAAAAGTTTCGCGGACGTTGGTATATCAGCTGAAGGAATACGTGTTTCTGGTTGGTCTTCGAAATTAGTGCGAATGTATTATAGGTTCTGCCTGGACATGACACTCCCATTAGTGTCGCGGAAGAGGGTGGATCAACTTCCCTTTCTTAATTTTCCTTTTCATCCCTCTGCGAGTGGAAAACGTTAACGTATAGGCGAATCATTTTCTCTGAGTCCTGTTATCTTATTACCTCGTTGAATTATAGGGCGGGGGTGGATGTGTTGGGATGTTTCTGTTTGAGCATTGAAATTGGGCAATTAACACAACCCACGTGGTGTTTTCTTTTGTTAAGATGGAAACTTAGAATAACAAAAAATAGGGGTTGTTAGTATATTCAATGGTGATTGTGGAATTATTCTTGTATGATGGCTTTTGTTCAATAAGAATATTAGGAATCATTAGCTTATTCAGATAAGCAGGAATTTTGATAGAAATTTAGAAAAATGGTAAAAGAGAATCGTGTAATATCTTCTTTATTTATATTTTTAATATGTTGATAATATCAGTATGTGCCAGTTAGAAGTATCACTTCAAATATAACTTCAAATATTTGTTATCAAATTAGTATTACCAGTGATTGTATTTCTTAATAGGATTTAAATAATAGTCAAACTAGGTAATTAGTATGACTAGGTAATCACAGTTCAGTAATTCTAATATTCCAAACTTCTAATCATCTCCACAATGCAAAACCCATTTCAACTTCCACTGAAAATAATTGCCTATAATTAGCATCACCAGGTAAATATTCCATTTCAATAGTTTTACTATTTTAAAACTCCCAACCATTCCCATTAATCAATACAAAAAGCCACTTTCCAGTTCGTTAAAAATAAAAAGGAAAGGAATATCGGAAAAAGCAACCCCAAAACCGAAACCACAGGCGACCATTCGCACCTCGATTCACACTCAGCGCCAAAAACCAATCGAATCGTTTTCAAACCACCCCAGCCACCCTGCAAGTCGACTCGTGCCCGACCAGAGGTTCCGGCTTAACGACGTTAATCCAGCCACGAAGAAGTCTTCGTCCCTTCTCCATCCCCTTTCACCCTTTGCATTTCATTCGCCCACCTGTCCCTGGGCCCGTGTGTCGCTGATACCCACGAATCCTCGTACAACCCCTCCAGCCTCTAGAACAGAAAGGGTGGCAGCGCGACTCGGCATTAAGCAGGTAAATTTATGGAGTCGAGCAACTATTTAGATAGGCGGATAGAAGCAGAGCGATTTCGCTTTTTGCCACTAGACTAAAACCCTCTCTCGCTCTCCATCCGCATACTCGAGGAACCGAAACTCCCCCGTCCCCCGCTTCCTGCCCTGCAGGACGAAGAAAATCGCGCGAATACTTCTAAGCGGTCTTCTTCCGCCTCGCCAACCCTAACCAGAGCCTACTGTTCGGCCAAACCAGCCCCTATCGCGGTATTCGACCTTAATTAGTTTTTCGTCGACGGATAATCCGTGGCTGGCGATTTGTCAGGGACCCGAAGTTTACGCGGTCGGAATTAAGGGGTCGCGAGATTAAGACGAGATACTTAAACGAGGAGGCGGCCGCGACTTGGTTTCCGGTGCACGGAAGCCCATCGTGGATTTGTTTTATCGCGAAATTCGACCGGGTGGGGCCAAGAAACTGCCACCTCGAACTAGGCTTAACTCTTTAACCCCCTCCGCGCAGTTGACTCATTCTTCCTTCCCTACACTCACACACGAAACTATTCCAACACTTACACTCGCTACATGCACCGAGATTACGTCGGTGAAATTAGAAAACGATCCGACGATATTTACGACACGATTATCGTAGATACGGGTCGTGGTGGCGCTAGTGAGTTGTGAGAAAAATTCGTATGCAGTGGTAGATTTATTATTCCTATTTTTTAGTTAATACTGTCTTTTAGTAAATGTAATGCAATTTTATTTACGTGATCTCGAAGTTTCCTTCTCCTCGTGTGCGTCATTGTTTACCGCG